TGCCGGCTCATTCGTTCATTCATTCTTTCACCTGCGACTGAGCTCACACTTGGGCACGCACAGGCGTCCATCAAGGATGACACACACAAGCACGGTCACAGCAGCACAGACGCAGTGGCCCAAAGCTGTAAACAACACAATGGGGGTGGGGGGATCTCACAGTGTGACGTAAAACAGAACAGCCAGACACGAGCATGTGCCGAGCGATTCCACACCTATCAAGTTCAAAGACAGGCAGAAGAGACCGGGGCTGTGGTCAAGGGGTGTGGAGGGGGCATAGGGAGACCCGGGGGGACCCGAGGGGAGGGGGCGTCTGTCTCTTGATTGGTAGGTGGCCACACAGGGTCGGAACTATGAGAAACCAGGCTGAGGTGCATGTCCCAAAGGCGTGTGTACACACATGACATGGGCACACCGGTTGACAGACAGTCTCCCCCGCAGGCCAGTAAACCCACATCTTCGGGTTCACAAATAAAGGCGTTGGGGGAGGGGCTGGTGGGCACAGCATTCTGGGCTAGAGCCAGGTGCACTCTGCAGGAGGGACGTCTCGGGTGCTGCAGCTCTGCCATGAGGGAGGACAGGGTGACCACGACGTGGGAAGTACTAAGGCTCAGGTGGCAGACGTGGGTGCAAATCCCGCAGGCGCGAGCAGCTCTGACAGACGCAGAGCAGAAAGCAGAACCCCCGTCTCGGCAGCTCCCACCTGCATTTCACACCGCTGCTCCATCTAAATGAAAATGGCCTTCTGAGCTCGGGGTCACCGCCCCCTCCCCCTTTGCAGCTTACCCGTGGTTACCTGGGCATCCCCCAACTCCGCATCTCAGTAAGAGGCCAGAGGAAAAGGCAGGGTGGCCTCTTTCAATGGGGCCCCAGTTAGAACACGGAAGGAGGAGCAGAGGCGTGTGTACACATGCACACACGCACGCACATGCACGCACGCACATGCACACACATGCACGTACATGCACACGCACACACACGCACGTACATGCGCACGCACGCACGCACACATGCACGCGCATGCACACACGCACGCACATTTGGCGAAACCCATGAGCAAGGGAGGGACTGGCTGACCCAGGCAAGGTGGGGTGCAGAGGGTCAGGAGTGACTGAAAGGGAGACGGGGACCCACTGGTCCCAAGCACCGGGGCCTCAGAGAATCTCGAGGGCCCTGAGAAGGGCTGGCTGCCGAGCAGCCCGGGCACGGGGTCCAGCCGGTGCCGGGGAGGTGGTGGCTGTCAGGAGCCCAAGGGTGGTGGGGGTGGTGGGTGGAGGCGCTCTGCGTCTTTGTCAGTGATGGTGTGCGGGCTCCCTGTCAGTGCTCGCCCAGCAGCACCCCGATCTCTCCATCTGACCATGTGCACGTTAACCTCCTGGAGTGCGACCAGCCGCCCACGGCGAGAAAGGGCCCCGCCCCGGCTACTCTCCGCTCGGCCCACCTCATCCATCGCTCCTCTGCCAGCTCATGCCCACAAACTCACGAACGGGCCAGGTACCGTCTGTGTTTCACAGTGTCCCCACCAACATCCTCTCCCTGTCCCAGGCCCCAGCCTGGTGCCCACACTGCACGGAGCTGCCGGGTCCCTCGGCCTCCTACACACAGAGACTGTCCCTCAGTCCGTCCTATCTTAGAGGCCATGACGCCTCTGAAGGGTGAGCCCTGTAGACTGTCTCATGTGGGTTTGCGTGACGTCTCGCGGGGTCCTGCATGTTGGCAGGGGCCCCACAGCGGCGATGTCCATCCTCAGTGCATCTCGGCAGGAGTGATGACCGGGAGGCTGACCTCGACCACCAGGCTGGGGTGCTGTCTGCCGGGTCTTTCCCGGTAGAGGCACAGCGGTCCCTTTGTGATTGATACCTGTCCTGGGAGGTATCTGCAGCTGTGCAGGCACCTGCCGCTCTGACGTCGGTGGCACTTGCCAGAGACAACCGTTACTGCGGCCTCCGCCCGGCAGAGATTTCGTGTTCATTCCAGCCCTTCCCTCCACGGTCACTGCTTGGGTCTCCCCTGCGAGGACGCCCGTCCCTTGTCCACGGCTCCTCTGATCGCTCGGTGATTTACTGACGCCCGGATCCATGGCTGTCCACGGTCTGCTCTGGGCGACCACCCACTTCCATTGTGCAAACCGTTCCAGCTTTGGCTGCTGGCGGCTCCTGCAGGCTGGTCCCGCCTTCTGGCCACGGGCGCCCCGTCTTTTTCGAGCACGCCCTTATTTTCTGATCTCACCAAGTGTGCCAGGCTCGGCTTGTACTTTTCCTGCCCTGGTCCTGGAAGGGACCGATTCCCCGGGGACCGCTGGCACGCACACAGGTGGACCCCACAGACACTGCAGGCCGGGCTCCAGACCACAGCCAGAAAGCGCGTTGGAACCTTTTTGTGAAAAACACATCTGCTCAACTGAAGCCGAAAAACTAAACGAAAATAAAAAACAACACGGCTGTGAAGCCTGTGCTAATGGTGCCTAAAAACCAAGGTTTGGGTGGCGAGGGAGCTCAGTGCGACTGAGACGTCACCGTCTTGGCAGACAGCTCGGCCACACCGTGTCTAGACCCACCTGAGCACAGGTGCGCTTCGGAGTTTGCTGGTGTCTATCCGCATCCACACGTGCTAAGAACCACAGCCCACGCTGCTTTCCAGACCCCCCTGCAGCATCACCGGCCCCCGCAGCCCTCCCCTCTCGCCCGGGACGTCTTCCTCCAACGGCGAGGACCTGGCCTCCTCATCCACTGTGTACGCACCTATTTATCGAATCCTACTGTGCACACAAAGCCATTTCGGTATTGCTAATCCATACCCGAGGGAAACAAGTTCACTATCAAAAGTACGTATTTTGTCCAGCTTTCCCCTTATCCGGTCAAAATAGTGTTTCCAAAGTGATCCAACTTGGTCCCTTCATTCCCCACCCGCTTCGGAGGGGTTCAGTTACTGCTGTGGAGGAGAGTGAGGTTCACCTGACACAACATGCTTGGTCTTCATTATTTGGGGTGTACGTTACTATGGTTCCAAAAATGTGAGCCTCACAAAAAAAAAATCCCTGGGAGAATGTTGCCCCCCTAACCCTGCTTCTCCGCTTCTATCCC